AATTAATATAAATAATTATAGTTTAATGATGATTAATTAATAAATTTTGATTTGATATTATTTTTTATTCAGGTAAATATTTAATTTAATTCGTTATATTATTAAAAAAATATAAAAAATATCACTTAATTTTTTATGTCATCAAAAGATATTTTTTTTATTAGTATGTGGGACCCATTTGAGTAGATTTGGTGCCATGTCATCAAAAAACAAATTTCTTTATTAGTGATGTGGGACCCATTTGAATGGATTTGGCACATAGTAACATGACATGTCAAAATGTTTGTCCATGTCATCGCTTTACTAAATTTTGCTCTCCACATCATCAAAAAAAATATAAAAAATGCCACATAAACGAACTTAACGGCTTAAATTAACAGAAGGACTAACGGAATGCATTTCTTATAGTTGAGGGATCAAAAAAGTGCAAAAAATTGTTGAGGACCAAAAATGTGCAACTCACTAAAGTTGAGGGACTAAATTTAGCATTTAACCTTTTGTTAAGTGTTATTCATAGGTTAAAACCCCTTTTTGGTCCCTGAACTATTGTACGGACCCCCAATTTGGCCCCTGAACTAAAAAAATCCTTGATTTGGTCCATACTGTTTACCATTTTTACCCTGATTTGGTCATTTCGTTAAAATATCACTGTTATCTTACGACAATTTAATGACATGTCAAACATTTGAGACACGTCAGTTGTATAAATGAATAAATAATGACATGGCAACGTGACATGTCATGTTCTTGCCCAACCCAACAAAAGTGGGGCCCACCAAAATTATGAATTTGCCATCATCTTCTTCCTCCAACAAACAAACCCATCCTCCAGCAAACAAACCCAGCACCTGGGTTGAATCGAAACCAACAACGCCCTTTTTTTTTCCTTCCTCTTCCTTGCCTTGCTTTCTTCATCATCATCAAACACCAAACCCACAGAAAAAATATATATATTTTTTACCCCCTGGATTCGAGGAACCCAGGCGTGATGGGTTCTTCGAACCCATGCCTGGGTTCGACGGAACCCAAGGTTGGGTTCCATGGAACCCAGCTGGTTCGCCGTTGGGTTCCAAACCTTGCTTTCTTCATCATCATCAAACACCAAACCCACAGATATTTTTTACCCACTGTGTTCGAGGAACCCATGCGTGCTGGGTTTTTCGAACCCAGGGTTGGGTTCCATGGAACCCAAGCGTGGGTTCAAGGGAACCCAGCGCCAGGGTTCCTTGGAACCCAACGCCTGGGTTCCGTCAAACCAGAGGTTGGGTTCCATGGAACCCAGCTGGTTCGCCGTTGAGTTCCAAAGAACCTAGTGGCGAACCAGTTGGGTTCTTCAAACCCAGGCGTGGGTTCGAGGGAAGCCAGCGCTTGGGTTCCAAGGAACCCAACCCAGGCAAGCGTGTTGGGTTCGGTTCCTTGCGAACCCAGTGCCTGGGTGGGTTCGAAGGAACCCAGCAGGCGAGGAAAGAGAAGGGAAAGGAGAAGGAGAAAGAAAAAAGAAAAAAGGATAAAAAAAAAAATTTAAGTTTTATTTTTTATAATATTTTTTTTATATTATTATTTTTTTCACATCATCACTTTTTGGCTATATTATCTTCCACGTGGATTACTATATGACATGTCATTTGGTAACCGTGAAATAACAGGCCGCGTCACACAATTTTTAACGGAAGGACCAAATCGGGGTAAAAATGATAAACAGTAAGGACCAAATCAAGGATTTTTTTAGTTCAGGGACCAAATCGAGGTCCGTATAATAGTTCAGGGACCAAAAAGTAGTTTTAACCTTATTCATATGATGATGGATTTTTCTAAATTAATTAATTAATTTTTTCAAGTCAATTTAATTCTTCATTTATTTGTTAAATTAAT